TTGGTCTCTTTAAACCAGCATTCAGTAGGGCTATGTGACTTTTTCCTACATCTGAAACACAATGAATGTTCACTTTTCTTTGACGTGAACTTGTTTATGTGACATTCCGAGATCGCCTTTCTCTGTAATTCCAGCGCATCTTTCGCGGCTGTCTCCATAGAAACGGCTATTTTAAGCGCTCGCACCAACGTGAGCTCTTTTTCAGTAAGGAGTTTCTTTTGCGTGCTCTCGCTGTGAATGCCACAAACAAGCCTATCACTGAGTGCTCTGCGAGTCTCCGGAGCTCGGCCATGTATACCGATACAGACTCTGTCTTGTGTTGATTCCGCTTATGGAAGCGAAAGCGCTCTGCATTCGTCAATGGTTTCGGATTTAAATGCATTTGCAGCCCTTCCACAATCTCTTTGAAAGTTTTCTCGGCTGGCTTGACTGGTGCTGATAAACTGCGTAAGAGGTTGTATGTTTTTGCCCCATTACACTCAAGAGAACAGCAACTTGTCTCTCGTTCCTGATGTCATTGGCTAAACAATATTGCTTAACTCTCTCCACATCCCAGATAGCAGGTAGTAATCGGCCCGAGCTCGGCTTCGACTCGGCGCCTCCGGCTTCGACTCGGCATCAGCGAGTGTTATGCTGGCCGAGTCTGGCCCGCAGCTCGCTGCCGCACATGCGTTTGTGATGCAGCTATTAAGCACTGGCCCGATTCCGGACAACCACATCTGGTTCGAGTCTGTCTGTAGAGTCCGGGCCGCTTCTGGCAAGAACTCGGCTTGTTTAACTGATGACAACCGATTCAATTCTTATTTTATCTAGTAATTTGTTAGTTTAATGATAATTTGAGAAAATATCCACGGTACGACAGCAACAAAATAATAAGAATATTTAGTGTGGATGGTCAAAACAAACCAATATTATTTATAAATTAATGAAATATATTATCCAGGAGAAAACGGTATAAAATGCGCTTATTTTCGAGATATATTTTCTTCTTTTGTTTTTTTTAAAGAAGTTTGGTTCTATAAGAAATATATGGGTTAGTAAAAACTCCTGATCCAAACTCCAATCCAGGTGATGGCAGTAATGCTCAAAACAGCTGGTTGCCAACCGCCACAAAGATCACAAGAAGAAAAGGTTTCGTTGTTCTAAACATTGGATTACGGTCAGAAAGGTAAGGTTTTTACTGCTTATATCCTGTATACTATGCAAATTTATTGCTTAAAACATTTTTCATAGTGGTGGGCAAAGCGAGGCTTCGTGAAACACTGAAACAGTCGAAGCAAATGTGTCGAAGCTTCGAAACGTTTCGAAACCCCACTCTACAGTGACATCTAGTGGTCATTTTTTATGTATTGCACTGAAACAGCTTCAGCAACCAATCCTTCAAGTATCATAGTACAGTGGTTAAGATGTTAGCCTTCCATGCAGGGTTAGTAGGTTTCGAAGCCAGTCTGATGCAGTCGTTTTGAAATGCTTTAATACCAGTTGGTAATGCTTTGCTCTTGTATCGTTTTGTTTCAACATTGGTCTGATATCCGAATAAGCAATTTGTGAATAAATATGTCTTGTTTTTGTCTTAAAACAGGGTTGTTGCTAGATCAGAAATGGTGGCCTGAAGTTATCAAGAATTATTTATATTATTCATTAAATTTCCCATTTTTTGTATTTTATTAATGTCTACCCTAACCCTAAACCCAACCATACTGTAAAAATATTTATTATTGTTTTATAGTGTTACAAAAATGATGCTAAACTGATGGCGTAACTGTAGCTGTATCCTATTTAGGCTACACAAAACAAAAACATGATTAAAATACATAAAACCATGATTTCAGAGTATTTGTACAAGTCGGGATTCGAACCCAAAACATCATTCAAAGCATAGAATCTATTATCAAACACACAGTCCTCTAAGCCAAATGAGACAGAGATTGTTTGGAGACCTTGACACTCAAATGAGGATTCGCTCGGTCTCGAAACGTTTCTAAACTGATCGATGCTTTGAATCGCTTTAGTCACGTGACTAGGTGTTTCGAAACACTTTAGTCACGTGACTTTGGTGCTTCGGATCATGCTTCGGTGCAGGGTTTCGAAACACTTGCGCTTCGGGATCTCGACACTGTGTCGAAACATCAGTTTCACGTCAGCCATCCCTAATTTTTCACAGTGTTAGGTTGTAACAGTGTGCAGTATATTAAAACAATTTGATATGAAATGCAACTTGTTGTAAAGAAACACGACTGAAGCTAATTGCTATACTAACGTGAGAAAGTTCCTGTTCCTTTGTTAGGTTGAAACAGTGTTTAGTGACTGAAAACTATTTAAATTATTTTAAAGAAACATGACTGAAACGAATTTGTGTGTATGCTAGTTTCTGTAGACGAATCTGTTAACGCAAACATGGCAAAACATGTGCTTTTAATTTCTGAGTTAACATTATAATGTAACTGTTATCGCAAATGTTGAAAAAAATTAATTTACAGGCGTGTACTTATTCAACAGTAATAATTCTGTGATTGTGTAAATAAAAATTAATCGTTTTGGATTCATACAATATTATTGTTTAACCCTCTGGGGTCGAAGACCACGTATACGCGTTTTGACCTGTGGTGTCGTCAAACTGCTGAAATGAACTTAAAATACACTTTCAGTTTTGATCGTACAGAGAAGATCAATACATCAATGGAATCTGTTATGCATCTACTTTTTGTTGTGTACACTCACAACAACAACAAACGTGTGTGCTTTTGCAAAATAAGGAAAACAAACAGTGTAGGCATTCTGTCTTCTCTCTCTCCGTGAACTGCTTTTAGAAACGCGTCGGTAAAATGCGCTGAAACTCCGCGAATACAAAACGCACACATATGAGACATGTATTTCTAGAAAGCTTAAAGTGTCTACTTTTAAACGCAGCTATGCATGTTAAAAACAAACAGTGCTTGATAAAGTAATCAGTATGAAATCAACGCTATGTCTAGTTTCTCAGTCTTATCTCATTAGTTTTAATGCGACCACGCCCACTAGACATTGTTATTACAAGCGTCTGAGGCGCAAGCAGACGGTGGTCAGAAAAACACGTCACTAAAATGAAAGGAAACTCGGCAAATAGTCAACAAAGACTATGATTTCTGATATCTATATAAAGCTTGATATGTCTACTTTTGCATTAACCAATTCAAGTCGAAAACAAATTATCTCTTTTTATGTAGTCCGTATAAAAGTAAGGACTTCTCCTATATCGCCTCATTACAGCAGCGTGGTCCCGTGGTCTTGTTTCAGTGACTCCAAATTTTAGTTTTTCACTAACCTTGCATAAACGTTTCTTTCTCAATAACACAAACACATACAAACATGCTGCTTAGGTATGATTGTAGCCCAACTTGTGCTGTTTACAGTGTAATCACATTTTAGCCATTAATATGTTTTTAAGATACTGAAAACAACACAAATGTCAGTGCATGTCAAAACTTTTCCAGAGCCCCAAAACCCCCTCAGACCCCAGAGGGTTAACTTGTTTATGCAGTGCATCACGAAAAGTGATCGAAACTCGACACTGTTTATTATTCTCTTCAAATTATCTAAGAGAAATATACTATTATGTGCTTTAATTCATATGTGTTAGCCTATGTGAATCAATTATACCTTATGTTCAAACTGTAATTTGCGCATGTAAAACTGAAAGCAGATTTTGATAGGGTTTTTTTTGGTTATTGACAGTTATAAATTCTGATTTGAATGAATAGGTAACAATATTTTTTGGTGAAGTCTTATTATTCTTGTTTAACAAAGGTTCGTGAGGTCATTTTGCAGCACATCACAGAGACAAAAGATGCCTATGGCACACTCTTATGAACATGTCAATAGGCATGTTATAGTTAGGTGCTTAAAGTCTTAAAAACTGTACACTGCTGATACATTTTCAACATACTTGAGCTTTTCAGACTTTACTAATTGCTTCATAAACGGCAGAAATGGTTTATTGTTATTAGCTATCATCATCATCATCAAACATTTTCCACAATGGTAGATTAACAGTGTTTAGTAACTTACAACTATCTTTTTTTATTTATTTTAAAGAAATATGACTGATTGACTTAATCTGCTTTCCTATTGGTTTCGTGAACTGGTTTGTGCATTGTGTCACAAAGTGATTGGAACATTTACTGCTATTGGCTTTCATCTGATTTGAAGTAAATCAAAAGCATCTGTATTCATCCAGTAATGTCTAGGTTTTAAATAGAATTTTGGGCTTATGCTAATTGGGTATATTTCGCGGCGAATGAATTTGCAATCCTCTGACTAACTTTTGTAGTCCATTACAAAAACTACACTACCCATAATTCGTCATCAACACTCTGGCGGGTAACGGAAGGTTGTACAGGTGTGTGTGTGTGTGTGTGTGTGTGTGTGTGTGTGTGTGTGTGTGTGTGTGTGTGTGTGTGTGTGTGTGTGTGTGTGTGTGTGGAGTCGGGTCTTTGAGTTGGATCAAGCCAAGATGATGTCAAGCGAAAAAATTCAGGAAAATAATTTGAGCTCTTTGCATCAAACAAGAGGAAGACCAAAGAAAAAAACAAAACAAAGCGATAAAATCACAGAAAAGTCTGGTAAGTAAACAAACTTTCTTACCAAATGATAACACATTACGAGACATGTAATGGTTGACCTTAAAATTAGGTCATAGTAATAGTTAATAGTTTACTAACATGAGCAAACAATGAAAAATTCATGTATTAAAGTTTTTATTCTATTAACATTAATTAATGAAAATACAGTTGATTGTTGTTAGTTAATGTTAACCAGCACAGCTTTACATTTTTATAATACATTAGTAAATGTTGCACTAATTAATAAATGATGTTTAATGTTTGTAAATGCATTACCTAACATGAACGATGGTTCCCGTAACATTACTGTATAGTTAATGGGTCTATTTTGCTGTTAGTTAAAGAGTTAAGTAACAAGTTAGAACGTTATTTTTAGTATTTATAAGTATTTGTTAACATTTGTAATTAAACAAAGCTGTCCACTGTTTTTATTAGCTCAATTCCATTAAGTAATATTTTAAAAACAATATATTATTTATGAAATTACTATTTGTTATAGTTTAACCATTTAAATTAACATTAACTATTAATACTGTATATGCTGTAGAAGTATGTTTCATGTAATCATAGTTACTTAATGTCAACAAATACATCACTATTAAGCATTAAAATTTGACCTCCATTTTAAATGTCATTTTCTAGATAAACCTACTGCAGAAGCCCCTACTTTGTCTATAGCTTTGGCTAAAGCTAAGGCAGAAATTGAAACCTGGAGGGTGAAATGTCAGAACCTGGAAGACAAAATAAATGACTTGACAAAAGAGAGAGACTACCTGAGAGAACAGCTGTCAGATGGTAAAGTTGTTGTGAATGTTTAATGTTGTTTTAATGTTAAAGTGCCACATTAAACATATTGTGAGGTCAGGAAAAAGCTTACTTTTAAGCTTACTTGAGATGTAACAAGAATTGATTATATAGCCTTGCAGTGAAGTTAACATGTGACAAATAAGTCATGCTGTATATGAGTATTAACATATTTTCTTTTTTAATGTAAGCCATCAAGATGGAAAACATACATGTCAAAAATAAAGAGAAGCCTGCAGACATGCCCAAAAGAACAAAACATTCTTTGGAAGATTCAGAAAGTGCATCCGCTGACTCCTCTGAGTCTTCTGACTCAGAGTCATCAAGCTCGGATTCATCAAGAGAGAGGAAGAAGAAGAAGGTGAAGAAAGGGAAGAAAAGAGTTTAAAAAATAAAAAAATCCAAGCATGAAAGCAAATTCTTTCCAAGAGGTAGGTCATGCAAATTTAAATTAGCTAAGATTTTTTTTTTCCTAATGTAAATGTAACATTTGACATTTGTTAAATAGTTCAGCATTAAGTACATAGGTGTATATTACAGTACACATTTGTGATACAATAGTGGCTACATAAAATGTCCCCACTAAGCTAACAAGTGTCCTTTTGTATCGTATTCTACTGTTTATTTTAGTTACTGAACCATGGCAGGTGGTGAAGCGCTACAAAGCAGTGCTGGAGATTTTCGACAGAGGAAGCAACATGACATATGCATTCAGAAAATATGGTGTGGACCGAAACACAATCGTGCAGACTGCAGTTATTGCTGAACTGGCCATTGCAGCTCCAGAAAAATTTTCCGAAATTCAAAACAATCGGGGAGAGAAATTATCAACCATTACCCAAAAATGTCAAGATGCTATTATGGCAGATAAAAGTATTGCACATAAAATACAAGCCATGAAAAAAGAGGGCAAATTGCTTCCAATAAGAAAATAGTTGTTGTTAAGAAAAAAAAATGTGGTTCCAGATTTAATCGCAAAATTTTAGTTGCACAAGTGGTGTTGCACAAGTTTGTTTTTGCACATTTATTTATTTATTTATTTTTTGTATTACTATTATGTTACTTAATTTTTTTTTTTTTATGTTTGAAGCTGCAAAGAATGGCAATGTCCTCATACAATACATGTCTTGCAATGTAATAAAGGTTCTGAAAGTCTAAGTGATACATGGCTTTGAGTGATTTTGGGTCCTGAAAAATCAATGATTATTGTTTTATTAAACTCACAGATGTTAGTTACATTAGTTATTGTTGGGTTAGAGGTAAGTCATGTTAGTAAAGAGTTAATGAATGTTAGTAAAGCATTAGGTAATGTTGAAATATTCTACACTTTACAATGTGTCTTAATTCCATTAACAAACACTTTGTTAATGATATTTCATGTTAGTTAACAGTTAACGAATGTTAGTAAAGCATTAGATAATGTTGGAATAGTTTACACTTTACAATAAGTGTCTTCATTCCATTAATAAACACTTTGTTAATGATATTTCATGTTAGTTAACAGTTAACGAATGTTAGTAAAGCATTAGATAATGTTGGAATAGTTAACACTTTACAATAAGTGTCTTAATTCCATTAATCAACACTTTGTTAATGTTATTTCATGTTAGTTAACAGTTAACGAATGTTAGTAAAGCATTATATAATGTTGGAATAGTTTACACTTTACAATAAGTGTCTTAATTCCATTAATAAACACTTTGTTAATGATAAATCATGTTAGTAAAGAATTAATGGATGTTAGAAAAGCATTAGGTAATGTTGAACTATTATACTACAATAAGTGTCCTAATTCTATTAACAAACACTGTAAATGATATACCATGCTAGTTAACAGTTAACAAACACGAATAACAGTTGAAGTCGAGATGCACTTCAATAGAGGGTCCATTTAGAACTCCTTTGTCCCTGACATTGATCAAGAACTGAACTTATCATAAGCTCTTCCAATTTGTATGCATTGGTATATGAGTAGTTAACATGAACAAATATTTTTGTTTTGTTCATGTTGACTAACACATTAGTTAACATTGTAAGTTTTTATGAACAAGGATTCAGTATTGCTTTATAAATGTGTTGTTCATTATTAGGTCAAGTTATCTAATCCATGAACAGATACATAAATGCATAAGTAAGTAAACATTAACTAAGCTGTTCATGTGAAGATGCATTAGAATATGTGTAAACTAGCATTAACAAAGATAAAGTAATGCTGAGCAAAGTCCTTGTTTACTGTTAGATTATGTTTACTAATGCATTAACTAAGACATAAATAACTGGTTAGTTAGCATTAACAAAGGTTAAGTAATGCTAAATACATGTGTTATTCATGGTTAGTTCATGTTAACTAATGCATTAACTAACGTTGACTAATGCATTAACTAATGTTAACTAATGCATTAACTAACGTTAACTAATGCATTAACTAAGACAAATGGTTAAGTAATGCTAAATACATGCGTTATTCATGGTTAGTTCATGTTAAATAATGCATTAACTAACGTTGACTAATGCATTAACTAATGTTAACTAATGCATTAACTAAGACATACATAAATGGTTAAGTAATGCTAAATACATGCGTTATTCATGGTTAGTTCATGTTAACTAATGCATTAACTAACGTTATCTAATGCATTAACTAAGACATAAATAAATGGTTAGTTAGCATTAACAAAGGTTAAGTAATGCTTAATACATGCGTTATTCATGGTTAGTTCATGTTAACTAATGCATTAACTAACGTTAACTAATGCACCCTTATTGTAAAGTGTTACCCACCTGGCAAGACAGCTCTCCACAATAACGCAAGTCCATTCTCTGCGTTCTTGGAATTGAGAAACAGCCGGAGAAATTCAATCTGTTTAGCCACCTCCTTCCCCAGAGTGAGACTGCTGTTAAAGACTCGTTTTGGAGCGGTCTAGACGCCAACATTATGTTAAGCCTTCTTGAAGAGGACACAAACTGAACTCTGGCTTAGTATTTAGATTTTGTTTTAAGTTTTTGTGGATCACCATTCACCGTGGGTAATATGCTGCTTCCACTGTGTTTAACTTACCTGAGTTTCCCGATCGACCGCCACCTCTTGAGCTTCCCGAATGGTGGGCGCCAGATCCTCTTGAATCCCCTGAATTGTGTGCCCCAGATTCTCTTGAATACCCAGAATGATAGGCACCAAATCCTCTTGAATTACTCAAACAATGGCCGCCAGATCCCTTTTTAATTCCCCAAATGGCCGTGGGTGCCAGATCCTCCTGTATTTCCTGAATGGTCAGGGGTGCCAGATCCTCCTGAATTCCCTGAATGGCCAGGGGCGCCAGATCCCCTTGAATTCCCAGAATGGCCAGGAGGCCACTGGGGTTTAGGCCCAATCCCAATTCTATTTTTGTACCCCTACCCGTTCCTCTCCCCCCTTCCCCTTGGCTCATACAAACGAGAGTTAAGGAGAAGGGCTTCAAAACTTAACCCTAAGAATTGGGACAGCACTACAGCACCGGCACACCTCATCATGTCATCACGATCTTTTGCTTCATGTGAGATCAGACGATCACAACTGCTGTAGTTACTCCAGTTGTGTAATAATTTTTGTATTTATCTTCAGGAAATCACTGAACCCATATATCATATTATCATAACGATCTAATGTGGCAATAAGCTCGTAACTATACTGTTTATTTACACAGTGGCCATATTCATCTATATAAACACACTAAAAAACAACAATAACATTATAGCAGACACTGTTAAAAGCTCATTCTCAGCCACTAGACATTACTGACAGGGTATTCGAGTGTCATTAAGTGTGAGAATGTTGTGGGACTGCTGTACAGGGAGTTATTATTAGGGATTATAGGTCGCAAATTTAGCGTTTTTTAGCTTGACGGTAAAACATGAACGTGGTTATAAATATATTAGTTTTTTTTTTTTACAATGGCTATGACAGTTTTTTTTTTTTTTTTTTAATACATTTAACAAGTTTGCCAAACTCTTAACGCAGCAACACACCTAAAACACACAATTGGCAAAACGGTTAATTTCATGCTCAAAATTACACATTTTAAACTAAACCCTAAAACTAATGTTCAAAATACAGTTATGAACTAACAAAATACACCATGTATAAGAAAACACTGCAAACATGTTTCAAAATCAAATAATGATTCAAAACACTAACACATGTTTTCTTCCAACAGGAACATATAGTCAATCATAACACACTGACAAAATCATTAGCTCACATTACAGACAGTGTACTTTTTTTTTTGCGTCAGCTCTGCCCTTATATTTGAAGCCTCTCTAAATTTTAGTTTTGGTTGGGTTTAGTAAATGCAGGCATTTTGTTTCTTTTGCTGCAGAAATTCAATACAAAAAATGAATGACCATCTCAAAGTTGCTTTAAAAAATGTACAGTTTGTTACAGTTTTTTACAATGGCTATGATTGTTTTTTCAATATATTTAACAAATTTCCTAAACTCTTAATGCAGTTAGCACAACATCCGTCTTTATTGGCTTTACAATTAACAAATTTCTTGTTGCTTTGACACAAAATGCATCCAGTTAATGGCAATTTAAAATGCTTGAACATCTTTTACACACAAGCTCAACCAAGACCAAAACAATGTAATTTTACAAATTTGCAAATGCTTTCACACAGTATGTCAGACCAGTTACGTCGTGGTCTAAACAGAACTTAAATAGGCCAAAGTCAAAGTTAACAGCTGATCATATTGTGAATTGAACCACAAATATATCCCCTGTATATATATATATATATATATATATATATATATATATATATATATATATATATATATATATATATATATATATATATATATATATATATCTCTAAGGACTGTTTGGCGAAATATTTGACTGCATGTCACTGCATAACAAACGACTGAAAGGATATAACTAGAGAACTCTCCACTGTGCTACTGGTGAGAGCGTATGGCAAGCCGTTTTAGCATTTAAACCTTGTTCAGACTATCCATAAATATATTTAGAGATATCTCTAATTATATTTTGACTTGTCATAAATATAATTCGACTAGTCAGATTGGAAATCTCTGCAAAATTATTATGACTGACTAGTCATATTCCTCCATTGACTTCCATTGAAAAATATTTGCAGATATCTCTAAATAAGTTTTGACTAGTCACAATTGTAATTAGAGATATCTCCAAATGAATTTTGACTAGTCAAAAATCCAATTCAAGATATCTACAACTGTAATTAGACTTTTAGTAAATTAATTAGAAATATCTTCAAATATATTTGTAAATATCTCTAAATATGATGAATTAAAGACATCTCCAAATGTATTATGACTAGTAAAAACTCAGAGATATCTCTAATTACAATTGTTACTAGTCAAAATTCATCTGATTTCGTACTAGTACAATTGTAATTGCAGATATGTCTAATTGTCATTCTGAGTAGTGGAATTATAATTATGAATAGTCAAAATATAATTAGAGATCTCTAATATATTTATGGAGTCATAACAAACATTTAAATGCTAAAAAGGCTTGCCATAGAGAGCGCTTCTCACTGAACAGAGCAGCAGCGATGACGTAAGCGTGCCGAGGCCTGATATGGTGTGAGCGCTGGCCGTCGGGGGAGACGGGAGGGGGGACAAGCGTGCTTTGGCCCGGTTCGAGGCAACTGTACCTAGTGTGAGTACGGCCTCAGTCAGTAGTCGGAGGGCGGGGTGGAGATAAAAGGTGTCTGGCACAAGCTTCTCCACAGCAACAGACAAAAGGCTCGGCTGAGCGAAAAAAATACTTCACTGCATCACTATTTTTGTTGAATAGATTTTTGTACCTTAATTGGGTTCCAAAGGCAGTTTATTAACTTGTAGCGGAGTTGAAGCGGAGTTTGATCGGGATATTCTATTACGCTGCATTATTGACGTCTGCAACCGGGTGCTCT